GAAGTGCTTCCCCAAGATCTGAGTGTTCAAATCCCCCCAGAGAACTGGGGCTCCCTAAGCACAGTTTGATGAGTTGCCTATATCTGCCCCCAGATCCTCCATCGGGCGACGCTATCCCCGGAAGAGATGCTTTTGCTGCTTCCTGCTAGGCGTGTTGATGGCTGTGACAGCGACAGGACTTGCGGTGAGTGTGAGCAAGAAGACACAGTCCCAGTGCGGCCCTTCCTGGTGTTTGCTGTCTGAAACGGAACTAGCCGTTGCTGCTCAATTTTCAGTGCAAAATATTGGGAAGTTTCATTAGATCCGGGCCTGGGGCAGCTTTTGGCTTTAAACAGCCCACGACCCTGAGATTCCCCACGCATTGTACAGGCTGCTAATTTCTCAGTACAGTCGTATCTTGGAAGTTGTACGGAATCTGTTCCGGAAGTAGTTCGACTTTCAAAAGGTTTGAAAACCAAATCGCAGCTTCTGATTGGCTGCAGGAAGCTTCTGATTGGCTGCAGGAAGCTTCTGATTGGCTGCAGGAAGCTCCTGCAGCCAGTCAGAAGCCCTGTCGGATGTCTGGGTTCCAAAAGAACGTTTACAAACCGGAACACTCATTTCCGGGTTTGTGGCATTTGGGAGCCAAAACGTCTGAGTTCCAAGGTACGACTGTACAACCTGGAGCCAGGGCTCACCGAAGGCTTTGGCAAGCTCCCTTCAAGTACAACATTATGGACTCCTCAATACACTTCCTTATTTGTGAGTGGCTTTGTTGAGGTATCAAAATTACGGGGCACGTGCAGAAAATCAAAACGTTAAAAAGGAGCAGATGACATTTCAAGGGAAATTCAACAGCGACTCCTGAAAAGTCCCTAGGAAGCAAAACTTGGTGGGTATGTTTTGGAGAGAAACATGAGCACGTTGGACCGCTCAGAGTGTGGTTCCCAGAGTTTGGTCCTAACCTCACCCACATATATCAGCACTGCGGTGTGTGTGAAGCAGCAAGTTAGAACTCCATCCCCTTCTGGCATGAGACTAGCCTATCTGTGCCCCATAGGTGTTTATGCTGCACCCTGAGCAATGGTGCACCTTCGGGCTCCTCCCAATACCCTCAGGCCCCTCCCTCTTTCACAGAAAACCTCTTTATGCATTTGACTGGCAGTGAAAGTGAGCTTGGCAGCTTCACCATTCGCTGACTCCTCTTTGCCTCTCCTTTTTGTCTCCAGTTTGGTACGTGGAAGCAAGCCAAGATATACGGCGGGATCTACGCCTCTTGGGCCCTGGTTATTCTACTGGCCTTGGTGTGCCTTGGTCGAGCCACATACTGGGCCTGCATGAGGGTCAGCCACCCTGTCCAGAACTTCTCCTGAGCCTTTTCCTCCGTTTCCAGCTCCTGCTGCTGCTCCCACCACATCATCTACTGAGAGCCAGCCCTGTCCGTCCTCATTTATTCCCCCCCCTTCCTTCCGCTTTGGGGCTGGGACCTTCCGGGGCCACCCTCCTGCTGTGCCAGCACCCTATTTTTCAGTCATCTCAGCAGCTGCTACTACCCTCACCCAGGAGTCTCTTTCCTGGTCGTTCACCCTGGATCTGGTGGTGCCAAAAACGAACAATCTGACCTGAAGAACTCTCTTAACCTGCGGAAATCTTGGGGGGGGGGGGCTACCCCAGCAGCAGCAGAGTTCTCCAGGGGCAACAGAACACTAAATGGGACCAACGTCAAGAGGGGCTTATGCGTGATTAGACATTGTGGGTTCCAAGAAACTGGCACAAATTCCTGAGTGCCTCCCGCGTGTGGGAGACATCAGAGCTACGGCGACTGCGCTGGGACACATGAGCAACAGGGGCCAGAGTGGACGGATGATTAGATTGAAGCGGTCCAATCCCAGTTGTGGTGGGCTCAACCACTTGAGATAAAAAAAACTACTACAGTGACTCGGCTGGGACATTTTTGGCAGAGCGGTACGTTTTCAGAATCCGTTGGCTGCTCTTTGAGCTGCTTTTGAAACGCTTCCCAGGCTGGAAGGAGCTACAAGACATCAGCGCTGCATCCTTTCTCTTTGCTCCGTGACTTTGGGGCAGCTGCGAAGGACAGCTCAGGCTGCGAGAGAGTCGAGGCACGTTGCACGTTCCTTAAACGGTGAGCCTGCGACGAGAGGCGTGGAAGGCGACTAGATCCTCGGCTGCTGGCTTCCCGTGGCACTTGGGAGAACTCGGTTACTTAATGGCCAGTACCCTGCACCTTGGCGTGGGTGCTCCAGACTCCTTCCAGGCCCTTCTTCTCCCCAGACCCTCCTGTCCCTTAATACCGCCTGGCGTTTGGCTAAATGTCCCCTACCCAGTCAATAGCCCTCTATTCTGTGACCAGCGGCAATCCTGAGATCTGGAAGGCTCATGGTGACAGAATCTCCGGTACCACATTTTGACACTTTTTAAAAAAACGCCCCTTGATCCTACTTCATTTCTCTCCCCCTCTCCGCCCTTTTTTGTTTGCACATTCCTTGGTGGAGGAATTTCCCCCTCTTGCCCCTCCAAGAACCAAATCCCTACTTGGGAGGGTGGGGCTGAGGGACCCTCCCCCGTCTTACGCATCATGTCACTGATTTGTGCCTGGTTTAACAACCCACCCCCACATCCCATCCTAATCATGCACTGAGACTTGTCATGTTTCACCTTTGGATCCAGGGGAGTGGATTCCCTTTCCCATATTTACTGCTGGGTGGGACAGCTAAGTCCTTTCCCCTCTTCTATCTGCAATTCCGTCTGCGATCTTTCCTTCTGGCTTGAAAGTCCAACCTCATCTCTTTTGTGTTCTGATCCTGGACATAACTTTTCCGCCCCTGCCCCTTCGACTCGCTTCCAAGAACATGCTTTTGTGTTACCCCATTTTGGGTGGTGGTGGTATTCCTTCCCTTAAATCGGGGAACCTTTGGGCCTCTAGATGTTGCTAGACTTGCAACTCCCATCATCCCTTGCTGCTGGACCCTGTTGAAAGTGCAGCAGCTGGAGGCCCCAACGTACCCCACTCCCTGGCCTAGGTCATTTGAGGCCTGCGAGAGACGTTCATGGGAGGAAGGCCAGTCTTGGCAGCGCAACCAGAGGGGAAAGGGTGTCAGTCCTGCTTCCATGCATGTCTTGGCTTTTGTCAATGGGGTGTTTTTAAGTCCCTCCCTCAGATTCTCCCCTTCCTCGTGCCCCCATGGCTTTGAGCTTGTGGCCCCAAAACTTGTTGCCGTTGCAGCTTTGTATATATAAGAATAACTGATGTGTACATAGAGCTATTTAAGATTCGCTCTCCTTCCCGGTGGCTCCCTCGCTCCCTCCCACCTGTGTGCCTGCACTTTGTCTCTCCTTCAGTCATGCTGAAACTCGCCTCTCGCTCTCCTTTGCCTCCACACAGCCAAAGGAGGAATGCAGATTGGATGGTTGTAAATAAAGTAAAAGATTCCATACGTCTTCTGAGGGGCGGATGCCCTTTGGGTGGTTGTTTTCTTGGGAGTGCGGTTTGGACCATATTTGGATTTTGGAGGGGGGGGTGCTAATTGGGGACGTGCCGTTTCCTAATTTCAACTTGGTGCCCTCTAGATGTTTGGGCCCACAACTCCCCGCAAGTGCCCTGCCAACATACGGTGGCCAGGTATGATGGGAGCTGCCCTGTCTTCCTTGTAGGTGGATTTAATTCTGTGCCCTTCAAACAAAAACTCTCCTGGTCTTGGTTCCTTGTTTACAGTTGCTAATATGGGGCTACCCTGAACTGAGGGATGAGGGAACCTGTGGCCATGCTGATGGTGTTGGACTATGAATCCCATCAGCCCCAGCTAGCATGGCCGCTGTTCAGGGGTGATGGGAATTGTAGTCCATCAACACTGGGACGGCTACAGGTCCTCACCCCCATCCTAGCCCTAAACCATTTTGGGACTGAAATGAGGAAATCTAAATGACAGGTTAAAAACTGGGCTGCTTTTACTGACAGGCATTTAAGGTGGGATGTTCTGCTTGTTGAGAATGTTCCCTTTTAAAATGTGGACACAGTCCACCAGGAAATTCTGTTTGTTGAAAGAGCGCCCTGAATTGCCCCGTAGTCATCCAAATTTCCCCTTTAATCATGCCTCATGGGGATTCCATTCCAAGCCTACAGGGCTACTACATCACCTCAACAGACGGCTTGCTGGCAGTGTGATTTGGGAAGAAATGTGGCATTTTATTAACTGCAAAGGCTTGTGTTGCCACCCTCCCAACCCTCCAATGTGTTTAGATAAGCTTTTTTAAAAATTGATTTCTGCAAACTACTTGGTGTTGCTTACCTGAAAAGCAGTATATAGCATGGAAAATCAACGAATTCAGCTGCAATAGGCTGTATGCATGCAGAGAATAAAGGTGACTTGGTAAATAGTAATCTAGAGCCAGAGTGGCTGTCAGACTGAGACTATTACGGGGGTAGCCAATGTGGGACCCTCCACTCTCCACTGCAACTCCCATGAGACCCAGTCAGCATGGCCAAAGGTCAAGGGAGATGTGGTCCAAGAATATCTGAACTGAGGGTGCCACGTTGGCTACCCCTGTGTTAGGGAGAGCTGCATTTAAATATTCATTTGAGTTTGATAGTCATTGGATGACCATGAGTCAGTCATTGCCAGAGGTCTCCCTCACAGGTTTCTTGGAGGATCCAACAGAAGGGGAAAGTAATTCCTGTGACTCTGGAAGATGGACAGGATAAAAATGAAGTAAATAGTCATTAGCAGGGTGGAAGAGCATCACTCATGACTCCAACCGTAGTGGCTGAAGCCCATTGGAACGGAGGGTGGGAGCCAAACACTAGGTGGAGCCTGTCCCAATGTCCCCATCCTCTCCCCTATTGACACAAGGGGTAACAGAGACTAAAGCAGAGAAGGCTGACAGGTCAGGTGACCCCTTGGCTGGAAGTGGGAAGGCAGGCTGAGGGTTCGTGTGGCAGTGCCCATTCGCTTCTGCTGCCCCTCCAGCCTTGAGAATAATGCTGCAAAAATAACCAGGACAGCTGTAGAAATTCACATTTTATATATATATAAAGGAAAGTTTAATACACTTTTTCCAGAAGAGTTAAATCTTTTGTCTCGGAGCACCATTGCTGCCTAGAGGAGGGGGGCAGCCTTTTGTAAGGAGAAAACAGGTAGCTGCTAGGTAGAAAAATAAGGGAGGGAGGATGGACAGTTAGAGGCCAAAGGAGATGGAAAACAGTGTTAGGTTGACGGAGAGAAAACTCCAGCTTTTCCTAAATACCAGAGAAACTTCCACTTTCGAGAACCACATCACACAAGGGTTGCCAGCTGCTGAACTGGCGATACCAACCTCACATTTAACAGCCCTGAGTCAGAAAGACACCATATGGCTTATCCTGCATCTCCCGCCTCTTCCCTCCCATCTGCTCTAGAGTGGAAAACGGTACCCTGCTGACTTGCAGGGGGAGGGGGGAGGGAAAAGGTGCATGAACTTCTGCAGCACTGGATTCCCCCAGCGCACTACACCATTTCACAAGCCCAAAACCATCCTTGGGGGAGAGGCGGAATTGCAAAAGAGGCAGTCTCCCCGATCAGGAGCAGGCAACCCAGTGCAGATACCTTGCTGTGAACAAAGAAATTTGAAGCCCCCACTAGAGAAGAGTGGGCATGAACATAGGCCAGAGTTTGCCACCATAATGCTCTCTAGATGTTGTGGATTGCACTTCCCAAGAGCAAGACATCTGGATGGCACCATGTTGGCGACCCCTGGCATACTGAAAGAACATGATCTCAAATCCCACAAGCAGGACTTTCTAGGGCTGGGTCTCTCTATCCACCTCTCGGCTCAAGCTGCAATTATCAGAGGACCCATGTTAGTAACCGCCCTCCATCCCCTTGACTCTCCATCACACAGCCAGGTACAGGGTGATGGGGCAGTGGTCGCTCCCCAAGGCCGTGGATCGGATCTTGCTGTCGCAGACGTTCTCCAGCAGGTCTTTGGAGACCACAAAGTAGTCGAGCCGCCAGCCCACGTTCTTGGCCCGGGCGTTCATCATGTAGGTCCAGAAGGTGTAGGCGTAGGGGGTGTCGGGGTAGAGGTGGCGGAACGTGTCGGCAAAGCCGGCCTCCAGCAGCTTGCCGAAACCCTCCCGCTCCTCGGGGGTGAAGCCGGCGTTCTTCTTGTTGCCCTTGGGGTTCTTCAGGTCGATCTCCTGGTGGGCCACGTTGAGGTCCCCGCAGAGGACGAGGGGCTTGCGGGCAGCCAGGCCTTGCAGGTAGGAGCGGAAGGCCACGTCCCAGCGCTGGCGGTACTCCAGTCGCACCAGGCCCCGGCCTGCATTGGGGAACGTAGGCCGTCACCAGGAAATAGGAGGGGAACTCAGCCGTGATCACCCGGCCTTCCTTGTCATGCTCCTCCTCGCCTGCAAGGGGGACAGAGAATGGAAACGGACACCGGTTACAGGAGTAGCAGAATGGACAACTAGATCTGGTGGGAAACCTAGGTCTCCCCCAGGCCTTGCAGGCCGAGTTTGAGTCACAATGTTTGTTTTGATTTATATACCCCTTTTCTTACACTTGGGACGCGGGTGGCGCTGTGGGTAAAAGCCTCAGCGCCTAGGGCTTGCCGATCGAAAGGTCAGCGGTTCGAATCCCCGCGGCGGGGTGCGCTCCCGTTGCTCAGTCCCAGCGCCTGCCAACCTAGCAGTTCGAAAGCACCCCCGGGTGCAAGTAGATAAATAGGGACCGCTTACTGGTGGGAAGGTAAACGGCGTTTCCGTGTGCGGCTCTGGCTCGCCAGATGCAGCTTGTCACGCTGGCCACGTGACCCGGAAGTGTCTGCGGACAGCGCTGGCCCCCGGCCTCTTAAGTGAGATGGGCGCACAACCCCAGAGTCTGTCAAGACTGGCCCGTACGGGCAGGGGTACCTTTACCTTTACCTTTCTTACACTTACGTACACCAGCGGAGAGACGGAGGCTGGCCCAAGGTCACCTAGCGAGCTACAAGGCAGAGTGGGGATTCGAACCCTGGTCTCCCAAGTCATACCCCAACACTCTAACCATTACACCACACCAGCTGTCGCCAGGTGACCTTTTTTTCTTTTGTCTACAGAGCTCTTTTCAAAGCACCTTGCCAGGGACTATGCAAGACCCAACAGTCGACCAATTGCCCCAAACTGATTCGCAGCGAAAATTGTAAAAATCCTGATGTTCTGGACTACAGTGCCCATGATCCTTGACCATTGTCCATGCTAGCTATAAGATAAACAAGGGCGCTGTTCAAAAGCAAAAGAAACATAGGACTTGCAGACAAAACAGAATAGATTTGCGGCAGAGGACAGTGTAGTTTAGGGGTAAAGGGCCTTTATTAGCCCTTGGGCCGCATTTCTGTCTGGACAACTTTCCAGGGGCCACATTCTGGTGGTGGGGGAGGCCAGAGGGGAAAGTGGGTGAAGTAACTCATACAAACTTTACGTTCACACAGTTTCTACACATGTTCCTCTCTATCCTCCATCTGGACAAGTGAAAGCCATCAGAGCTCAAGGACACATAAAAACACTTGAGGTGTGAAGACAGGGCCAGACAAGAGAGGCAAGACCTGGTGAGAGTTCTGAGGGCCAGACAAGGGGCCTGGAGGGCTACATTCAGCCCCCAGGGCAGAGAGTCCCCACCTCCAGTACAGTTTGTCATGGGGTTTCAGAAGTCCTTACCGATACCGTAGGTGACATCGACAGGCTTGGCCTTGGAGAGGAGGGCCACCCCACTGTAGCCTTCCTTGTCATCAGAGCAGGCCCAGTACTTGTGGGGATAGTCGGCCAGATCCCGGATCTCGGCCGGCAGCTGTTTTTCTGCGCATTTCGTCTCTTGGAGGCAGAGTATGTCCGGCTTCTCCTCACACACCCACTGTGGGGAGAGATGGCTTTAGGTCAGGTCTCCCATCTTCTCACAAAAAAGAAAAACGGGATTTAGCAGGGTGGGGAGCAGACTGACGAGGGGACTGGGTTAGTTTGCTGATGAAACTAGCTACGTACTGAAGGGATTCCTAGAGTCATAGAACTGTAGAGTTGGAAGGGACAATGAGGGTCATCTAGTCCAACCCCCTGCAATGCAGGAATCTTTTGCCCAGTGTGGGGCTCGAACCCACGACCGTGACATTAAGAGCCTCATGCTCTACCGCCTGAGCTTTAATGTGGTGTAGTAGTACAGTCCTATCTCGGAAGTCAAACAGAATCCATTCCGGAAGTCCCGCTGGACTTTCAAAACATTTGGAAACCAAGATGCGGCTTCCTGCAGCCAATCAGAAGCTACAGAAGCTGCGTCGGATCTTCGGATTCCAAAGAACGTTTGCAAACTGAACACTCACTTCCGGGTTTGTGGCATTCGGGAGCCAAAAAGTTCGAGTCACAAAGCGTTCGTCAACCAAGGTACAATTGTAGTAGTAATAGGGTCAACTTTAGGACCAGAGAGACCTGGGTTCAAATCTACACCCAGATACAAAGCTTGCTGATTGTGGATTAATTGTTTCGTCTCAGGCAAAACTCGCTCACAGCAGCGCTGTGATGATAAAACGGGGAAGAAAGTGTATTTATTCACTTATATGCTGTCTTCAACGTGCTTCCCCAACATCTCGAAGAATGGCTGGCAGAAGACCCACGTCTGAAACCCTGAAAACCACTGCCAGTCATCACTGACAATATGGACTACAATGGACACATACCAATAGCCGTCACAGTTCCCAAATTCCTTGGCTCTTATGTACCAAAACAGCACCACACACAAACGAGAGGAGCATCAAGCAAGATATGGGGATCCCCAATATTTGCAAATAATCTTTAGGGGAGCAAAAACGTAAGGAGGAAGAACATCCCTATAAAACAAAAACAAAAAACCCAGTCCAATTAAGTCTGAACATGCAAAGGAATGCTGAGTATTTGAAGGGGGCGGGGTAGATGACAAAGAAAGCCAGATGGGAGAACCGAATGGAGCACCCTGCAACAGGGCATGGCTGGCTGGCACCCAAAATGGCAGCATTCTGCGCACCAACATTTTGTTGCAGCCCTCACTTGCACTCCTACATCACTACTGAGAAGTCTGTTCTGGGAGAGGAAGAGCAAAAGGTTGCTTTAGTCCCAGTCTATCGGCCTGCGATAGAGAAGGCCTCACTGTGGCTCAACTCTTCCCTCGGAAGCAGAGGAAAGGTAGGCTACAAATAGATTGCCCTGGTTGTTGGCCTTCACAGGCTCAGTTGCTTTTGCTTCCTGCACTCCCAGGGGGATTCCCCAGTTTACCCAGAAGAATATCTGGTTGCCATACCACTGGCTCCTAATTGCTTCTCCATGAAAGGGTGGGAATGCAACTTTCCCTTGAGGGGCTACATCATCTCCAAGGAAACATTTAACCCGATGGGTAGCCATGGTGAAGCGCAACTCAGGGGAAACGGCTGTAACGAAGGTGGAAGGGAAGCAGGGAAGGACACAAACTGCCAGGCAGAGGCTTTCCTCCAGCGTAGCTCAACTGTGGCCCTCCAGGTCTGGGACTCCAATTCCCATCATACCATGCTGGCTGGGGCTGATGGGATTTGGGGTCCAGCAACAACTGAAGGACCACAAGTTCCCCACTCCTGAACTACACCATGTGAGGCTTTTTCTACTTTAGATATTGGGGTGGGGGAAATCGCTAAAGAGACTCAAGATAAGATTTTTACAAAATTATGCTCAAAATAAAGTACAGAGAGAGAAGGGAGGCACATGGGAGGGGGAAGACGTACATCCCACACCATTCCTTGCATTCAGGAGGAGTCACCCGAATAAATTCATTGGCGTCAAATCCAGGACACGCAAACAGAAGGAACTCCTTCATGGAACCCAGAACCAATCTGTGGAATTCACAGACCACGAGATGTGGCGACGACGGCCTTTTTGAAAGGGAATCAAAAAAATCATGGAGGTGGGAGGGCAAGATCTATGAACAGTCATGGGATATATGGATCCCAGGTCATATTCTGGGAGGGTGGAAGGCAGGGAGCCCATAAAGCAGGGGAACGGCCAGTCAAGGAGAGGCCTGGCCAACTCAATTCTCATTTTGTCTCCAGGGGGCAAGACTTGAGATGGAGTGGAAGAAGCTGGGAGAACAGGATGCAAGCAGGAAGGCAGGCAGATGGGGCTGAGGGCAGGCTGGGGTTAGCTGGGCAGTGCCCCCCACATTCCCCCTCAGGGGTCAGCCTCTACCGGCTGAGCCTATTCTTATGCCTTACCTCCAGCCCCTTCTTCTTAAACCAGGCTCGGATCCCGTCAACATTCCAGGAGGTGACCTTCAAGGTGTATTTCTTGCCACTGGGTGAGGTGAGTTTGTCAGGGGGGTCTTGGTACAGGATTGGACCATCGGCCTCCTTCTCAGCTTTCGCCCCACCTTTCTTAGCCTTCTTAGGCTCTGGTTCTGGCAAGAATAAAGAGTGAACAGTAAGAAACAATTCGCTTTTCCATCAGTCACGAGAAACATTGGGGTTCCATGTAAGGTTTGCAAAGACCTACTTGCCTGATTTCATCTAGCAAACATTTTCCTCCAAGCAACTAGGTAAAGGTAAAGGGACCCCTGACCATTAGGTCCAGTCGTGGCTGACTCTGGGGTTGCGGCGCTCATCTCGCTTTATTGGCCACGGGAGCCGGTGTACAGGTCATGTGGCCAGCATGACTAAGCCACTTCTGGTGAACCAGAGCAGCGCACGGAAACGCCATTTACCTTCCCTCTGGAGTGGTACCTATTTATCTACTTGCACTTTGACGTCCTTTCGAACTGCTAGGTTGGCAGGAGCAGGGACCGAGCAACGGGAGCTCACCCCGTCGTGGGAATTCGAACCGCCGACCTTCTGATCAGCAAGTCCTAGCCTCTGTGGTTTAACCCCAGCATCACCCGTGTCCCTAGCAACTAGATAGTGGTGGTTTATAAGCATCAGATTTTCTTTTTCTCTTTTGTCCATATATGAATATTGTCAGTGTAGGCATGTAGCCTAGTGGATTGGGCGGGGAGGCAGGCTGGTTAGTTCTGTGGATTTATTTGCAAGACTGGATCCAAGCAGGTGTGTCATTCATTCATTCACTCACACAAACAAGCAACACACATATAAAGATGCCACACAGGAACCAAGACTGGGGCAGAGGAACACCTCCTCCAGAGAAGCGGTTTTACGTAACTCCAGGGTTAGCAACGTAGGATTACGAGCCAATGTGTTGGTTAGAGGGTTGAGCTAGGACCTAGGTGACCAGGATTCAAATTCCTACTCACCTACGAAGCAGTATAAAACCCGCTGGGCATGCAATATTTATTACATTTATAAATAATAAAATAGATTACTTGCTTCATTAATACATTTCCTTCACAGAGTTCAAGGCAGTGTACAAAGTTCTCTTTCTCCCCATCCCAATATTTTATATTCACAGTAACACTGTGGGGAAGGCTAGTTATAATGAAAGATACAGTGGTACCTCGGGTTAAGTACTTAATTCGCTCCGGAGGTCCGTTCTTAACCTGAAACTGTTCTTAACCTGAAGCACCACTTTAGCTAATGGGGCCTCCTGCTGCTGCCGCGCCGCCGGAGCCCGATTTCTGTTCTTATCCTGAAACAAAGTTCTTAACCTGAAGCACTATTTCTGGGTTAGCGGAGTGTGTAACCTGAAGCGTATGTAACCCGAGGTACCACTGTAGTGACATCTCATTGAAAGATGGGCCCACAGCACTAAAATCGAAGGTAAGCCTGCCTGCTCTTTGAGGCTTGCAACTGTCAATCACCTGATGCCATCAGGAAATCCACCCACCTATCAAAAATGTCTCACAGAGTTTGGGTTAGTTCTGGATCCAGCCCTCCAAGTTCACTCAATTCCCCACCTTGTAGCAGGTTTGAGAGAAAGACTACAACACACAAAATATCTGAAAGATTATTCTTAGTAGTAGTAATAATAATAAAATAACAATTTAATTTCTTATCCATCCCTCACAAAAATAGTACCAAAGCAGGTTACAGCATTATATATATATATATATATATATATATATATATATATATATATAACAAATTAAAGCCACAAGAACAGGGTGAGTCCTAAAAATATCTATCTCAAGTGTCATATAAGCCCCGTCCACATTCAAATCCATCTTTATTGCCAAGACTGAAGACACTGACCTGCCACTGTCTCCTTCTCCTCAGGAAGGGCTTCACCTTCCTTCTTCTTGCCCCGTTTTGGCATCTTAGGTGCCCAACTGGATCCTACCCTAGGCAGCTGGCAGCGCAACCTTGCCCAAAGCAGGCTATTGAACAGCAACGTTGTTCCCTGGGGAGGAAGGATTATTATGGTAAACACTCCCAAATGTCCTCCAAACAGGCACCTTCAGTGCCATAAGCCCCATTGACTTTGGTGGCTTTAAAAGATTAGGCAAATTCACGGAGGATAAAGATGCGATGGCTGTGTTCTGCCTCTGAATACCATTTGCTGGAAATCACAAGTGAGGAGAGAGTGCTGTTGGCATTCAAGTCTTGCTTGTGGGCTTCCCATACGCCTCTGGCTGGATACTATGGGAACAGGATACTGGATGGGCCTTTGGCCTGATCCGGCAGGCTCTTCTTAAGACTAATCCCCTAATTATCATTATTATTATCATTATTAATAATAATAATAATAATAATAATAATTTATTAATAATAATTAGTCCCCTAATAATGCCACCCTGAAAACACTGCATGGGCGACTTTCCACCCAGCAAAGTGTCTTTTTGCTCCACAAATATCTGCTCATTCTTAGCCAATTATGATAATTCCCCCAGATCAAATGACAGTGCCCTGAGAAGACGTCACCAATCTGTCCTACAGTTGCCCAGAGCACAGAAATATATGAGGAGGCATAGACACTAGACTGGATCAAGCTTCTAGCCAATTCAAGTCTTAGCAAGTTGCAATAGTGGGGGCCTGAACCAATTCGATTTTTACCTGTCATGCAACCACGATGAATTCTGCACCAACTGGATTTTTACCTGCTATGCCACTACGATTGCATATGCGCCACTTGGTTGTAGGGTTTCCCCCCCCCCCCGCCATGCAACTATAATGAAATCTGCACCAGCTGAGATTTCACCTGCCGCACAACTTTTAAGGGCACCTTTAAAGGCCTTCCAGGGAGAAGAGGGAACAAAAAGCGGGGAGGAGAAACTACCTTATCAATACACCCTCCCTCTGCAAAGACAGAAGACCGGCTTCCCCCTTCGCTTCTGTATAAATAATGCAATTAATAAAATAAAATAAATAAAATAATTATTATTTCCAATTATTTCTCCTCCTGTTCTTACCGCACCAGAATCCCTCCGCTCCCCAGAGACAAAGGCGGAGACTGCAGAGCTCGCACGCGCGCCAGGAGAATGGAGAGCCCGGGAGAGCAGCACGTGGAGTGGATTTGTATCACGTGACACAGGCTGCAGAAAAGGGCCTGAGAGGGCGGGGCTGTAATTATGAAAGCGAGAGGGGAGATTGCCTTGGTTTTGATGGAGGGAAGGGTATGGACAGTAGTGGCATGAAGGGGTTAAAGAATCATAGAGGGTGTCACGTGGAGAGGGAGTAGAAGAAGTTCGGTGGCTGGTGACGTAGCTGGACTCTCTCCGGGCAGCCTCCGCCCCAAAGGGGAGTCACAAGTTTTACTGGAGTTATACCAACACCTTAGGTTCTCAGTTGAACTGTGGTGGGGCCGGCCAACGCTAAATAAAATAAATCAGGGGTGGCGGGAGAGTTTGTACAGGATTAAAAAAAAGATGATCATGTTCCACTGCCGGAGGCAGCATGGCTTTGAATACCAGTGAGTGGCTAGGACTCGCAGGTGGAGAGAGAGAGAGAGAGAGAGAGAGAGAGAGAGAGAGAGAGAGCCATATGCGTTCATGCCAAGGGTTGGCATCTCGCTGCTTTCTGAGATGATAAGAATGTGGCGCTGGGTCTAATCCAGCAAGGCTCTTAAAGAGAAGCAATGCTTTTTAAAATTTGTTATTAAAATGCCTATGCTTGCGTTCTCTCCGCATATGGAGGTGGCCGAATGAAAACCAGAAGTCAAGGGTTGATTGCCTTTTTCTATCTCTAGATTCTCTGCCTCCTTTTCGTTGCCTATAATCAAAGAGGAGGAGGCGCTGCAGTTTAAATTTCTCCCGAGTTTCTCTCCCCCCCCCCCCGCCTTTCCCCCTCCAATCCCCGCCCCCGGTTCTTCCTCTCATCATCATCATCATCTCGCAGTCTTGAGTTTCTGCAGCTGCAAACTTGGATCAGGGCAAAGACACGGAAGCGGGGAGACAGAGAACCCACGTGGAGCCCATCGCCACCCTCTGAACTGGGGGGGAAGAGATTGTAAGCCCGCCTCTGGCTATTTCCTTTGCTCCTCTTCTTTGCAGCTCCCAGTGCGCTACGCTAAGCAAATGCTCCGCAACGCTAGGAGGAAGAGGCAGGGCCCCCGGAGGTCCCCGATTCACACGTGCAATAACTCTCTCCCGCAGATGGGAGACGAGATCAAGGCGAGAACCCTTCATTTCAGGTCCTTGAAAGGGGTTAACCCAACAGCGCACAGTCTATTGGACTCCAACTCCCATCAGCCCTAACCAGTGCAGCCAGCGGTGAGGGGATGATGGAAGTTGTAGTCCACAACCACCTGCAGAGGCAACCTGCTTCACCGTAAAAGAACGCTTACAGTTAATAAGTGTCCCATAAAAATTTGGCCCAAATCTCTGCGGTTTCTACCTATTTATTCTAGTTCTGACCACTAGAGCAACAGAGAACAAGTCTGCTCCATCTTCAGATGTTTGGAGGCAGCTGCCAACATCTCTTAATTTTCTCCAGGCTAAACAGGCTCAGCCCTTTCAACCTGCACTGAGTTTGCAAAACCTACACCATCCTGAATACCCTCTTTTTTTGTCAATGACCTTATTAAAACCTGGTAGCCAGAGCTGGAACTGCCCTTTTTTCTCTCCCACTGGAACTAAAGCCTGAGCTAAATCTTGGATAGAAAAAGAAAAATCTCAGGTCAGACAAATGTCAAGCACGGGCTCTTTAGCCACCTTCTTGCACATGTCCACCAGGGTGGCAAAAAAGTAGACAGGCATCTGTGCCTGTCAACTGCATGGCTATTACTGCATGCTTATTATAACAGCATGGAGAGCCAGTGTGATGTGTTGTTTAGAGTGTCAGACGAGGACCTGAAGCTCAGGGTTCTGGCATGAAGTTCACTGTATGACCTTGAGTCTGTCACCATCTCTCAGCCTGGCCTACCTCGCAGGGTTACTGTGAGGATTAAATGAGGAGCAGGAGAATCGGGCACACCACCTTGCAGATGGGATATACACCCTTGTTCAAATTAATTGAAACAAAGCATGTTTTCTGTCTTACTCGTAATCCTGTACTCAAAACAAACACGGAAAGTCAGTTGATCATTATGGTGTCAGAAGCCTGCAGCCAATAGAAGAGAATTATACAGAGCTGGAAAAAAGGTATCCTGACGGTACTGGGATATTGCAGCAGGACCTAGCCCCCTGTCACACATAGAAAGTGGTGAAGAAATTCATGACAGAGCAGCAAATACAGGTACATACAGTGGTACCTCGGGTTAAGTACTTAATTCATTCCGGAGGTCCGTTCTTAACCTGAAACTGTTCTTAACCTGAAGCACCACTTTAGCTAATGGGGCCTCCCGCTGCTGCCATGCCGCCAGAGCACAATTTCTGTTCTCATCCTGAGGTAAAGTTCTTAACCCGAGGTACTATTTCTGGGTTAGCGGAGTCTGTAACCTGAAGCGAATGTATCCTGAAGCATATGTAACCCGATGTACCACTGTACTTGATTGGCCAGGGAATTCCCTGGACGTAAATCCCATTGAGAATTTGTGGGCTATATGCAAAAGTCGCCTCTGTGCTGTAGGCTGTATGACTATGGAGAAGCTCATTCAGGCGCTGATTCAAGTGTGGTACAGGGATCCAAAAATCAACAGTGACTGTTCGAAGCTAGTAGACTCCATGCCAAACCGTGTTCAAATGCTGCTTAAAAATAGCGGAGGTCATATCCATTACTAATGTACATATATGTGAGTTATGTATATGTGAGTTTTGTACAATAAACTGCATTGTTTGTTTCAATTAATTTGCACAAGGGTGTAAGTGCAATAAATAAATAAATTACCAGGTAGGGCAGGGAAGGGAGAAGTGGGAAACGGGGTGGTGGTGGTGGTTCTGATATGTATTTGTAATTGTACTCTGTTTTCTTCATAGTGGGCTCAGTGGCAGACTTTGGCTCTCAAATTTCTACGGCACCCTGTGCAACATTAAAATTGGGCACATGCCTCTTGTGCTCTGTTCTATAGCATTGTTGTGGTGCCCCCTGCAGTGCGGTGCCCAGTGCAGCCAAACTGGTCATGCTACCCTAAAACTGCCTCTGGTGGGTTGGAGTTGGAGGCAACATGGTGCCTCTTTGCAGCAGAGTAAAAATTCTCTCTCTTTCTCTCTCTCTCTCTCTCTCTCTCTCTGGCTTTCCAGGATGCTATGCCTGTGGTAATAGGCTTTGAGGGCAGCGCCAACAAGATTGGAGTGGGGATCGTGCGGGATGGAGAGGTGCTGAGCAACCCTCGGCGAACATATGTCACCCCTCCGGGGCAGGGTGAGTGTAGCTGTTCTACCATGTGATTCCTCCACTCTGTGTTCCCTGGGGCGCATGTGCCCTGCACTCAAGGAATGTCACATTTTGTGCTTTGTCCAAATCCTACACCGAGCCAGAACCCATGCATGAGATGGGAATTGAAGGTTGACAACATGATAGATAGACAAGGCAAGGATATGTATAATTTTACAACATGCGGAGAATAATATGTGCAGAGAAATCAGAGAGAGGAGCTGAGGGAAGTTCCTGGTTGGGGGAGGGAAGGAGGGATGGAAGTGGGGGGGGAGAGAATGCATGTGATTATATGGTTTGATAATTTGTTATGTTGAAATTGCTTAATAAAAATACTTTTTAAAGAAAAGAAAAGAAAGGAGATGTGAATTGAACAACTTTGAGTGAGTTGCTCTTTCTTTCTTTTTTGCCGTTCTGGAATTATATTTTGCATAATTCCAGCTTTCTTTAGCATTACAGTGGTGCCCCGCAAGACGAATGCCTCGCAAGACGAAAAACTCGCTAGACGAAAGGGTTTTCCGTTTTTTGAGTCATTCCGCAAGACGAATTTCCCTATGGGCTTGCTTCACAAGTCTTGTGAGTTCTTGCGAGTTTGTTTCCTTTTTCTTAAAGCTGCTAAGCCGTTAATAGCCGCTAAGTCGTTAATAGCCGTTAAGCCGCTAATAGCTGCTAAGCCGCTAATAGCCGTGCTTTGCAAGACGAAAAAACCGCAAGATGAAGAGACTCGCGGAACGGATTAATTTCGTCTTGCGAGGCACCACTGTATTAATTCATGTTTTGCTAGTTAGGGGCAGGGCAGTATTTGACTGTCACTTTTGGCTTCTGAGACCTTGCCAAGCATAGCTTCTCTATCGTAAGGTTTAGGAACATGGCTGCTGTTGTTGTTTTTTAAAAAAGCTGCAATCTTCAGGATTTGAATTATCTGCTGCTGCAGAATCTCAGCGTACACAGAGACAGCCCTGAGTACACTTCTTCCTTGCCATTCTGAGTTCTACAAAGATTTGCGTAATACTTTCTCTTGATACACAATTTGGGTTTCTGGTGGGTGTGCAGAGGAGTGTTGACAGAGAGAAGACAGGCAATATACACTGAGTTTGCGCGGCCCTCCTTAAGAGATCTGCCTTCAGCTTTCCATGTCTCCCTGTCCTGATGCCTTTATCCTTCCTCCACATTCCAGGTTTCTTGCCAAGTGACACTGCGTGCCACCACCGGGCTTGTATCCTTGACGTGCTGCAGGAGGCCCTGCAGGAGGCTGGGCTGAAGCCGCAGGACATTGATGCTGTGGCTTTCACCAAGGGTGAGTCCCTCACTAAATTCTTGCTGTGCAGCCGCCATTTTGGATTCCTCAAGGAGACTTAACAGACGGGTGACCTTGAAGACCAGGTTGGAGGTTCCTTCAAATTCATCTCTCTGCATTCAGGAAACAAGAGGCAGCATTACCACAGTTCAAGGAAACATTTCAGCCAGGTGAAAGCCCTTGAGCTGGTGTGGGGCAGGGCCAGTGAGGGGGCGGGGCCTGAGCAGAGGTCTGAGGGCCAGAGATAGAAGCCTGGAGGGCCACATTTTCTATTGTATCCCACCTTGCTATTTTATGATAAGGTGGCAGTTTTATGATAATAACACGAATAGTTCTTGGACGGAAACAACGAAGAGTAATGAGGAAAGCACAGTCATGATTAGGATGTGAGAAAGGCAAATTCCATCCGCTCCTGTTGGCCTTAAACATCTTTCCCCCTCCCTTATCCAGGTCCAGGCATGGGTGCCCCATTGGTGAC